CTTATTATTATTCTGTTGTTGTTAGTGTTAAATTGTTGTTGCTGGTGTTGTTGTGCTGGCAACAATGCTAGTATATGTTAACATTAATTTATTATTTCTCCCTCCCCCCTCCACATCCACCCCCTCCCACCATCCCCCAATCCTCCATCCTCTCCCCACACATCTTGCTCCCTCCAATCCTCCCCCTCCCCTTCCACCTCCTCCTACCCTTCCACAATCCTCTCTCCACCCCACCACACCACCTTCCTTACGCCCTCCTCTCCCCTATCCCAACCACAGAGGCCCCTCGTGTGCGTGAGTTTGAGCGTAAGAGACTCGTGGCCGTGGGTGACCAGGCACGACTCACGTGCATCGCTGACGGCATCCCCGCCCCCAACATCACGTGGTACAGGGCTGACAGAATGGTGAGCAAGTCTAGTTAGCTACTCGATATAACATGATTTGTTGTTGTTGTTGCTGCTGCTGCTGTTGGCTACTCGGAATGAGACATGATTAGTTGTTGCTGTTGTTGTTGTTGTTGTTATTGTTGTTATTGGTCCAGTTGATATTGCTTTTGTTGTTATTTTTTAAAATCCCCGTTTGCTTACGTTTTTGCTGTAGTCGTTATCACTGTTGTTTATTGTTGCTGCTACTGCAATGATCCAACTGATGTTGCCGCTGCTGCAGTTGTTATCATTATTGTTTGTGTTGTTTTGTCGATGATGATGATGATGAAGATGATGATGATGATGATGATGATGGTGATGATCCCCTCCTCCTCTCCTCCCCCCCCAGCTCCAATCGGCCTACAATGTAGACATCACACGTAACGGCCAGCTCATCATCTCCAACGTGCAAGACTCGGACGCCGGTGACTACCGCTGTGTGGCACAGAACGAGGCCGGCTCCGACAGTGTGAACCTTAGTCTGGAAGTGGGATGTGAGTCTGTTTTTTTAGATCAAACAATATATGTGAACAAAATAAAGTGATAGGTGGGGAGGGGGGATGGGAGGGGGGTGGAGACATACGTTTAATGTATAAGACATAACTGCAACCTAATTATACTTTGCCTGGGATGACGCACCAGAACAAGTAGTTCGAAATGGGTGGGAAGAGGGGAGGGGGTGGGGTCTGAAGGGTGGAAGAATAACAGAGGTCTCATAGTTTTACTGTGTATGGCTACATT